TTGAGGTTGTCTGGTTACAAAAGCAACATAATCAGACTGCTAGTATGTGTACCGTTAACATTGAAGGTAAAAGTGAAAAAACATGACTATTAAAACACTCACATATGTTATTAATTAATATATCACTCTTTGCAGCACAATTAATAGTCATGATTTTTTTCTAGTTTCACCCTCAATGTTAACAATTCACACGCAGAAATGTTGACAGTGGATTATAATTGGAAATGATTCAATACTGAAGGGTGATAGTTAAATAATTAAATTTAGAATCAACTCTTATCAATTACTTACTATGACAACAGCATCTCTTGCTGCAAACGCCAAAATATCAGCACAGGAGACAACACCGGGGCAGATTGCTTCCACTGCTTTCTTTGCATCATCAATGACATAGAATGCGTGCAGGGACAGATTAGGTGGTCCATTCTTCTCTGCAGCACTCTTCTTTGAGTTCAGCAACACTGATGCATCACAGCCCTTCATCAAGAAACACAAATGGGGTTAAACTACCATGCAATAACTCTTGGGATTAAAAATTAATGCTTACAGCTATGGATGCATATATGTTGGGAATATAAAGTTGATAATGTGATAAAAGAGCATTATGCCGTGGAATAACCACTTTCATATAAACGAATTCGCTGTTATCAGTGCAAGTTTACAACAACAGTGTCCCATATCCATCATTGGATACAGTGACTAATCCCTTCGCTGAATTATACGTAGGCATGCACCGTTAAGGGCGAGATTGGAGATTTAAGGTTGCTCCATACGACCATACCTAAGGTCAAAGATTGATTCCTTGACGTTTGGTTAAGAACGAATGAGGCCCTTTCAACCACATCCCAAGTTCGATTCCCCGAGGTTAACACAACAATCTTTGTTCCCGCGTAGCGAACTAGGAATTGAAACTTACACAACATATACTCATAGTAATAAAGAGTCAAGAAATACCCTTATAAAACAGTCATGGAAATGCATCCTCAGCAGAGCAGCAAGAACAGTTTTGTCTGCCATGGAGGCCTTCTTCACAACCTGTGTCACTGCATTCTCTGCCTGGGGACATGTCTTCTCATAGTAGTTTGAGCTCAGTGCATTGCCCAGAGAAATGATGGAGAAGACAAGCATCAATGAGCTCAACAAGGCAACAATGGAGGCCATGGCTGGAAACTCTTGTTACTTTAAGAAACTATGATTGTTATTATGCACTGCTTGTGGGTAACACAACCCTATAGCAGTGGTATTTATAGGGTGAAAAAGAACCAGAGAAGCCTGGTAATTACTCTGAATATCATATATGGTTGGCTCAAACAGTATGTTTGGTGGCATGCATGTTGGATTTGACACTGGAGTGTTTTCTAAGCATCCATCTTAACAAGGATAACACCTTTTTTTTTTTTTAATAACTCAGTTCTCAACTTTGTCAGACTATATCCTGAACCCTATGAACCCGTCCCAAGTCCATAAGAAGATAAATCGAACTAATCTAGCTTTCAGACTCAAAACACTAAATTATACACTTTTGCGCACAAGGAGCCCAACCCAAACTCAAACCATCCTAATGTTAGAAGCAAGTACTAAGTGAGATTTCTCATCCACTAAACCAATGCCCTGGTTGGGAGGATAACACATTTTTGTTGCTCTTTGTTTGCTGCCTTTCTTTCCTTGGAAAGATCTTATTTGACAAAGTGTATTGATTAAATGGTCTTATAATGAGTAAATACCCTTAATTTAGTCTTCGATTATACTGATTTTTCTCTATTTAGTCATAAATGACTTTTTGTGCTTAATTAAGTCCTCGACTTTGATAGTTTTACACAATTAAGTCCTTATAATCAATGACTAAATTGAGAAAAATAACTATAATCGAGGATTGAATTGGGTAAAAACCATTATACTCGAAGATTAATTTAGGTAAAACTACTATATTTGAGAACTAAATTGAGTATAAATAGAGGTGAAATTACCAAGCTATCTAAACATATGACTCAATTAGGTAAAATCATCGAAGTCGAGTACCTAATTAAGCAAAAAAAAAGTGATTTAAGACTAAATTGAAAAAAATTCACTATAACCGATGACTAAATTGGATATTAGAGTGTCTTATTATTGAACAAATGTTTCACGTAAACAAGATTTCTATGACAAAAATACATATAATATTAGAGCAACCCCAATAAAAGAATTTTACACAGATTTTCATGTGGCATTGCCTTGTAAGAGAGAAAAGGGAGGAGAGAGAGTGGGTGGGTGTGTCCTACAAGCACCCAAGTTTTTGCAGAGGTGTGGGTTCCACGGTGGGGAGAAAGAGGTGCACTTCACGTGCGGTGCACCTCTCGCACCCAGGCGGGCGCGTAATTCAACTTTTTTTTCACACTTACAAAAACTTCTCAAAAACTACACCAAAACCCCCCACTATTAAGGATGCCCTTGCACATTTTGCACCTTTACAAAGGGAAATTCCTCAAAATCTGCACCTGCTATGTATGTATCGATTTGTAGTCTTAAAGAGATGCAAGCTAGAACATTTCTTGAACTTAATAAATGTTGTGCAATGATCATAATATGCATTCTTCCTCTGCAAAAACCTTGCAATTTGAGACAAAAAATTTCACTTTTTTTCATCAGAATCTTGACCCACTTCACCTTCCTCTTTTTTCATGTTTCAACATCTCATTATAGTGGTTGGGATTTTAACATCAATTCTGTTAATAGCACTCCCACCAGTAGTCTCTCTGCTTTATTTGGTGTTAATGATGTCTGGTGTCAACTGATTGACAGTGGTGATGTGATCGGGTTGTTAGAGCATCCTCATCCACTCTTAATTTTTTACAGTTTTTGAGATGTCAATTAGGAGGGAGAAGATGGAAGAAAAAAGGGAATAAAAAGAAAAACAAAAAAAAAAACAAAAAAAAACAAAAAACAAAAACAAAAAGTATTAGTTACGCTCCTAGTAGGCGCGTGCATACTGCGGTGAATATTGCGCCACACGTGCATACCCGAGATGCCTTTTCTCCTTTTCTCTGTTCACTTGGGCTCCACAAAAACTAAAATTTACAGTATAAAAAAACCTTCTAAAAATCAACCTTTCCATTAGTTCCAAAACCATAGCATGGACTTTTCTTCCTCAAAATTTGAACAAAAATCTCTATTGTGAATGCTCTTGAATTTGCTGGGGTTTTTTCTAACTTTTTGATGAGGTGAAAGAAAGAGAATATAAGAGAAAATATGTTGTATCAGTTTGAGTTTTTGTGGGTCCCGCCGAATTAAAATAATAATACTAATAATATAGTAATATGGTGCCCCTCTCTCGCACCAGCAATGCCCAGCTTGTGAGAACAGTGCACTCACGTCCTTGTAACTACTATCCGAGCGACTTTTCTTTTTTCACTTCTCTCTCATTTCTCTCTTTTCTACATGTTCTGAAAAATCCTGAACAAAAAAACTCCACAATTAGGAATGCTCTTAAAAAAGTACGAATGAGGACAAGCCATGGATTAGCAGCCATGTTCGGCAGCATGCCTACCATGGCTGCAAATTGGAGTTATACTTTGTAAGGTATGTTTTGTAATAATGGCTCATTGGCATGTACTTATAATTGCTGCTTTGTGGACTTTGGCTAAATGATAGCCTTTTTGCCTTTTTCTTCTCAAAAGTTTAGCAGGTAAAAGGAAGAAAAGTGAGTGAATGAATGTTGGGGTTACATTTACTAAGGGTTTTTCATGATTATTTCACATTGGAGTTAATCAATTACACTTATTGAATGGTCTTAGGGTTGGAGCACAAATAATTTTACTTTTTTTTTTTAGTTAAGTATGTGAGTTAAATGACATCACACTCAAGCATCAACATTTTGCTCTTCATTTAGTGAGACTTACTCAGCATTTTATCCAAGCATATTCAATAGGAGAGGTTTTATCAAGTAGACATATTGGTTGGCCTAACACTTACGGGTGCTAACAATTTGACCTTTACCTTTTCTACTCTAACCAGGTATACAGATGGGATGACCTTACATTTGGAGAACCAACAACTATAACATTTACTTTTTTTTGACACTTTACTTGACGAGATTTAACACTGCTTTTAAACTTATCCAATAGGGAATGATTTGTTCATGAAATATAAGGATCACACAACAATAACACGGGAAAAATTATTATAGAAGAAGTGAAATACATTATCGACTTATCATGGAACAAGATCCCTATAACTAATGTCTACCCTACCCTTACTCTAACTCCCAATAGAAATCTTCCATGCATCTTAGTTTAGCCCATATTATACTGTTGGTCCAACTTCATTATCTTGACCCATTGATATGTTGCTCCAGCCCATTAGTGGCTTAGTGCTCTTGAATTGATTTCAAGAAATTAAGCCCCATCAAAACCAAATTAGAGAAAAACAATTAAAACAAATGCCAATCGTTATATCGTGGATTTGGATCCACAGGGCACTATAGATTCTGGTCTAATATATTAAATTTATGTTCATAATACACATACACATAAACATGATATACTGAACATGAATTTTATGTATTATATAACTGAGGACACATAAACACTTAACATAATACACAAAATTCATGTTTATAATACTCAGAATTCATGTTCATAATGCAAAGAATTCATGTTTCATTATATCGTGTGTATGTGTATTTGTATTATGAACATGAATTCTATGTATTATGAATATGAATTATGTACCTTATGAAGTCAAATTCTGTGTATTAGACTAGGGTCTACAGTGCACTATGAATCTTGGTCCACGATATAATTTGTCAACAATTCCATGGTTAAATAGTAAAAAAGTTATTTTCTTTTTATTAAATTTTAATTTTAATTTTAACATGGATTACTCACTTTCTTCATATAGGCTCTTTTCCCAGTTATATATGGGCTTCATATATTTCTATACCTATTTGTACTCAGGACCCGGCCCAATTTACAATCTCCCTTCTTTCTTCTAAAATCCTAGGGTTTATAACGTAGGGACAGGGGAGAGAAGCTTTCAATACAGACAGACCTCATAGAAGAGTTGTCCTTGCATTCAACGAATTTCAGCTCTCATGGGATCAAAAAACAAAAACAAGAGTAAGAGCAAGGTATCAAAGCCAGAGGGGGACGCCGGCGCCGGCGCCGGCGCGGCTGCATTCCGCGGCGGGAGTCAACAAAGTGGAAGCAAAATTATCAAGGATCCCCGGTTCGCGTCCATCCACACGGACCCGAGGTTCCGCAAAGCTCCGAAGCACAAGTCGAAGGTGGTGCTTGATTCTCGCTTCAACCACATTTTCACCGATAAGAACTTCGCTTCAGCAAAAGCGGGGATTGATAAGCGAGGCAAACCTAAGAAGGACCGTCCTCAAAGCCGCCTTAAACAATACTACAGCCTTGAGGATGAAGGAGAAGAGGCGCTGAAGCTAGACGAGGAATTGAAGAGCAAAGATGCTGAAAGTGATGAGGAAGAGCAGGAACAAAGCGGCAGCGAAGCTGGAGAAAGCGAGAGCGAAAGTGAGAAGCTGAAGAAAGGAAATTTGAAGAGTAAATCAGATGAATCAGAGTCGGGAGAAGAAGATGAGGAGGCTGACAGTGATGATTCCTCTTCAACAAGTACAACAGATTCCGATGAAGAGGATGGTATTTATTCTGAGGAAGAAGACACGTTTGTGCAGGTAAAAAGGAAAAATGATCCAGCTTTATGATTGATTGATTTCTGCGGCCAATGAAATGAACTGTGCTGAATTTTTATTTTTACTTTCGTCTTTGAATTTGTCTGCAGGAAGAAAATATACCAGAAATTGAGGAGGAAACTCACAGACTTGCGGTTGTTAATATGGATTGGGGTCGAGTAAAGGTGCGTAATGGAATTTGTAATTGACTGTTGTATGCTGCCATATTATGCTCTGTATTTACTATTTACTGCTTAGGTGATTTTTCTGTTGTTCATATAGTCAATAAATGTCTAATATGAGTTCACAAGAACCACATGTTCATCCATTTTGGTTGGTGGTATTGCCATTTTACTAGATAACCGGTCCATTGTACTCGTATTTTCTTTTGTAATTTGGTTTATATACTCTATAGGCAGTTGACTTGTATGTGCTATTGAGCTCCTTTCTCCCAAAAGGAGGTCAAATTAAGTCTGTTGCTGTATATCCATCTGAGTTTGGACTAAAGCGGATGGAAGAGGAGGCAGTGCATGGTCCTGTTGGACTGTTTGATGAAGAAAAGGGAAAGAACAAGAATAGTGATGATGAGGACGACGATGAAATAGACAATGAGAAATTGCGTGCATATGAATTAAGTAGGCTCAGGTAATTTATTGGGTTATATTGTATTCTTGCTCCGTTAAAATGTTTTTAGTCTTATCTTATATAATAACTAGTTGGATGGTTGATGCCTAAGCTGCAATTCTTTTCCGTCCTTGTATCATTTTTCCCCAATTGAAAATGCCACATGAGAAGTGGATTATTGATTAAAAAGGAGTCTTCAACTTTGTTCTGTTTGCTTTCATTATTCTTTTTATATTTATCATTCTAATTATGAATTCGTTACTTCCATATAGTGAAGTGATTAGTGAGAGGCTTATAATCCTGCATTGACATATTTCTGCCATATTATGCAGGTATTATTATGCTGTAGTGGACTGTGATTCAAGTGCTACAGCAGATTACCTTTACAAAAATTGTGATGGAGTTGAATTTGAAAGAACATCAAATAAACTGGATCTGAGGTTTATTCCTGATTCTATTGAATTTAAGCATGAAGCACGTGATGTTGCAACAGAGGTAATTTATTGGCACCCTATAAAACGGGGTGGGGGGTGGGGTGACATATACTGTGTACTATATTCTTATATTTAAAAAATATTTCTAGGCCTGTTCATTTTGCCTTGTGTTTAAAGATATCTGCTTTTGTGCAAAATTGTTGATTGTTAATTTCTTTTAGTACTTCAAACATAGAATGAAAAAATTATTCTCAAATTACTTATTGGATTGCTTATTTGACATTTTTCTTTCACTCAGGCACCATCCAGCTATGAAGGTTTAGATTTTCATACTCGGGCACTTCAACATAGCAATATTGAACTTACATGGGATGAAGATGAGCCACAGCGTGCAAGGTCATTGAAAAGGAAATTCAATGCTGATCAGGTTCGTTTTCATTTCTTTTTAAACTCAAGTATCCCTGTGAGTCTTGAAATTATTTATTAAACATATTCTATCATGATTGGCCAATTGAGGAAGAGGTTATGGCTTGAGGCAGTAGCTCAACTGGAGAGTTCTCTTTCCCCTTGATTTGCCTTAATACCATTTTGAGAATAATTAAAAAATTATACATAAACAATCCCTGCATGGGTTTTATTTTATAGACTGTCTTTCCTGTAAATGGTATATTTTGGCCCATCTTTTACAGACTCTCACGGGATGCTTTCTGCAAAGTGCAATGTACTGAATACTTAGACTATTTGAATGCAATTCCACTATTATGGCTTTATTTTCTGGCCTTCTGATTGTTTATTTTTGAGAAATTTTGTTTGGTGCTGTGGTCAACTGTTAACATTGCATCACACTGCCAGCTTGCAGAAATGGAGTTGAAAGAATTTTTGGCTTCCGATGAGAGTGAAGCTGATTATGATGAGAATGGTGATGACAATGAAGATAGACCTGCAAAGAAACATCAAAAACAGGATATGTACCGTGCTTTACTTCAATCTGGAGATGGTTCTGACGGTAGTGATAAGGATGATCATGGGGACATGGAGGTGACCTTCAACACTGGCTTAGAAGATTTAAGCAAGCGCATTCTAGAAAAGAAGGATAAGCAATCAGAATCTGTATGGGAAGCCTATCTTAGAAAGAGGAAAGAGAAAAAGAAGGCTAGGAAAAATAGATCCAAGGATTCATCGGAGGACGAGAGCAGTGAGGATTCTGATCAAGAACATTCAGATCAATCTGATGACTTTTTTGTTGAAGAACCTTCGGCTAGCAGAAATAAGGAAGTGAAAGGTAAACATGCCAAGAAACGAAAACAGGATCAAGAAACAGCCCAAGAAGCTGAAGCAAGTAAGGCAGAGCTTGAGTTATTACTTGCAGATGAAAATGGAGCAGATGCCAACTTGAAGGGCTATAATTTAAAGCGAAGAAAGTCAAAGGATAAAAAGGGCAAAGCAATTATTGATGAGGATAAGATACCAAGTGTAGACTATAATGATCCTCGGTTCTCCAGTTTATTCACTTCACCACACTTTGCTTTGGATCCCACAGATCCCCAGTTCAAGAGGTATAGTTTTATCATCCCTTAAACAAATGACTATCTAAACATTCTACGTGTTCTTTTTGGCTGGCATTGTATCCTCACATCTTTACATTATTATCTCGATGTTAATGTTACAGGAGTGCAGTTTATGCACGGCAGCTAGCTGAAAAGGAACGCAAGGTCAACCAAGAAAATGTTGGGAGAAAAGAGCAGTCTGATATAACCAGACCACAGCAGCCATCCAAAGAATCCAAGGCAGAAGAGTTGCCTTCAAGAAAAGAGAAGTATGAACTCTCTTCTCTTGTTAAATCAATCAAAATGAAGTCGAAACAAATCCAATTACCCTCTCAAAATAAGGTGATGAAGAAAAGTGAAAAACTAAGAGCAAAGACAAAGAAGTAAGACACACCCACAATACCTCAGACGCTGATGGATATAGAATGCAGGTTACTTTTTTGTTAACACAAATTTTTTGCAGCCTCTTTGTAGTATGGTGTATTCCTCAATTTCTGTGTATCGTGTGAATTGTGATTTTAAAGCATTATTCAATAATATTTATAGGACAAAGTTCATCTACATGATTGTCATGTTCTTGGTTGCAATATCTTCTTAGCTGGTGTTTGTGGAATCAATTTCTTCAAAATTAGGGACAAGGGAAAGTGGAGTCAAAAGAGTTCGGATGCAATTGTCATCCCTATTTGTTGTTAGCGGTAAAGAAGTTATGAGCTGCATAAAATTCGAGGATCCTTAATTAGATGTCATCTCACCTCAAAATGTATCACATTTGGGACTTGTTTACAAGTCATTTTCGGCAAGGTTTAAAACTCACGTCTTTTTGAAGTTCTAGTTGTTTATGCTAGTGAAAAAGTGGCTTTTGGCCTTTTTGTGTGAGCTAATTAGCTATCAACTTATGATAGTTTATCTTTTTGGGGTGGTTCTTTGCTGGCTAGAGTTAAAAGGTGTGATTACCTCTTTGTGCTAATATAATTTTGAATTTTCTACTAGGAACATTATTTGTAAGCCTAAAAAACAAAACAAAAAACTCAGTTCCCAACTTCCCACCACGAGTTATTAAATATAAAATCCAACAAGATCTAAAAACACTAGCAAAAAGAAAATGTATTAACTATACCAAAGGAAGTTCAGTAAGTATATATACATCCACCTATATTTTACAATAAATAATGATATTATTGTGCTAAAAAATGGTGGAAAGCTCAGTCCCTATGTATTTGTATTGGTATAACAGATGTGGTTCAGATATGGTATACACTCACTATACAGACTAAACAAGCCTCAAGATGATATAATGATCCAAAAATAGCAACAAATTGAGAAAAAAGCCATCATTAGTTTGCCAAAGAAACCATTCAAGTGTGATGCATAGTTTCCTGCTGGTGGAGGCACCAAACCTGTTGGAGTTGAGAGAGGAGGCTGAGTTGTATTTGTAGTGGCCTCGGGATTCAAAGTAGCAGGCGAAGGTGCTTCGGTTGTTGAGTTCTACTTGTTTATAGGAAGAGTAGACGTTTTGGATTCTGTATCGTTGTAACCTGAGAAACAAAACTCGTCATTGAACTATAAGTCAAATAGTAGGGAAACTCAAGGTCTCACACTTGTGTGCGTGTGCGGGGGGGGGGGGGGGGGGGGGGGTAGTGATATAAACTTACAGTCTGATTGTTCCCAGCCCAAAACCTGCTTCTCGCTATCAAAAACCACCCGGTAGCCAGTCATGAAATTTTCTGGATAAAAGATTTAATGAATTTACAGGATATATAACACTGCAGCAGCGATAGGCAATTATTTTAGTGTTTCAAATAAATTCTGAATATACTTACGTCCAATGATGTTGATATCTCCACTTTTGACGACAGCTAAACAATAGGAAAGCGAATCATTCTGGATATGAAGAAAATGTTAGAGAAAGCTCTATCGTAGAAACCAAACTGCAAAAAGAAACACCTTACCTCCAAATGCAAAACTATTAATGGGTCAAAAACATGAAACTGGTCGCCACCTTTCATTGTTAGATTCAAATCAGGAAACTCAATCACGGTTTGGTTTGGACTGTTGCAAAAATTTTTTAAAAAAGGGTCAAAATGTGAGTGTTAAAAAGAGGAATTCACGAAAAATGGTTGACCACCTATAACTGACCTCATGTCATAGCAATACTCGAAAGGAATAGAGGAATTGGAAAGAATTTGACTGCGCGGATCCTTAGCAAAAGAGTTAAACTGCAAAGATAATAAAGCGTTTTTAGCTCAAATATGAAAAAGATAAAATGTAGATATCAGAACTTAGTATTGGACTTACATTCTGTGTAATGATTGTGTATGCCGGATCGTTTAAATATGTCAAGGATGTGCCAGAGTCAAATACCACTGTAAAATCAACATCAGTCACATTTTTCTCCACAGCTATTTGAGTAAGGCTGATGTTGTAAGTTGCGCTGATTTCAGAGAGAAAATGAAAAAAAAAAAAAAAAAACGAGTACTTAGTTTGAATTCCCACACTGTTTTGATTGATGCAGGAAGGGCACTCAAATGATTGCTTAGGTTCAATACGTAAAAAGGTAAAAGAAAGATGCATACTGTGATTGTTCAATATTCAATGGCGTTTCTCCTTGGTTTGAATTGCCTTTGTCCCCAAAAACTATTCTCCCAAGTCCATGTAGCCCAAAACACATAGAAAATGACTTTGCAGCAATTCCCTTGGATGCTAAGACGCTAGGAACAGAAACATCACTCATTCCAAGCCCAAATAGACCATTCGGAGCACCACCATCCAGAAATGCACCCGTTTGCTGAATCCCACAGCTGAAAGCAAATAATTAACAAACATAAATCCTGGTAAGAGTAAAGACACTAAAAGTACAACTGAGAGAAATGCTAAATCGGACACCATATCTCCTAAACCACGAGGGTCAATAAATACCCAAATGTAATTGGTGCATCGATGCTTTTCTGTTGACTGCCTTCAGTGACTAGGTGCAAGACATCCTCTACCAATATCCCTTGTGACGAGGTGTTCTGAGAGAGATATGCAACTCTATAGGGACAAGCATTGCTTTCTGCTAAGCATTGTCTTCTTTGTTCACACAGATCATTGCAAGGAACAATCTCACTGGTCGATGAGGCATTCGGGCTATACATATTAAAATCTATTATCTGTTTGAATAGAGGAGTCACATGATCAATAATACAAATCATCAAATCGATTCGAAAGCTGTAAATAAAAAAGCAGATAATGCTAGAAAGAACTGAATCACATACTGCTCCTCGTCCTAGTATAAGACTCCGCACACAGTTGCTGCAATCACATGGCAGCCAAAACAGATTGCTTCCGGTGTCCAGTGCCACAAGAAATGATAGAGGAGGCATGCCCACCGAAACCTTTGCATAGTGTAAGCTGAAAATTCAAACAAGACATTTATTCATTTCTTCATCAAGTATCAAAAATTCATTGCTGTAAAATGATAAGGATAGGATAGCATATCTATTGAGGCTTCATTCTAACTATACATATTCTGTTTCATAAATCCCTTTTGTGGCAATTCAAAACTCCATTGATCCAGAGCTTCTAAAAATTTGCATCAGTAATGAATTAATCAAACTCTTGTAATCTCTGGGTTATTAGAAATAATGATTTTTGAACAACCCCACGATTTCAGTTCTATAAAGTTCACCAGAAAAAAGACAGCAAAAGATCATATTTTATAAGCAAACACAAAACAGGACTCGATTATAGCATGAGAGGAAACTTACAATCCCAAAGCAGATATCTGCACAGTCTCATTCCCAGCTTCGAAAGTCAGCATATCGGAATCGCCGGACTCAGCGAGGCGGCGGCCCTTGGAAAGGCGGTGTTGATCACGCGCCACCCAGGCGGAGTAGTAGTCGACGCTACCCTTTTCCGGCAAGCCTTGAAGGTCCAAAATACCCTTGACTGGATCCGAGTAGCGGTGGTGAATATCGAACCCGAATGTCCCAAACGCCTCGCCCAACTCCAACTGTAGAACCCAGACCACCACCGCCGCGAAAGCAATCGTCACTAAGTTATTGAAATGGGCCGCCATGGCAAAGAATCCGGGAAACAGAGATGACAGTTATTGTGTGTATATTATATAAATATAAATATATCAGTATAGAGTAGCGGAGAGTATGAAACGAAGTTAGCTTAGCCGCCGCCGTTCTCAAGTCTGAACGACGATGCCGGTCGTTGGCGGGCAGTGCGGTGGGCCCATGATGCTCCTCCGCTTCCAGAATAAGTGAATACCGCTACACTTTTGACTTTAACTCTGACGACTTTTTACTGCTAGATTTTTGTTATTTTATATGTCCAATTTTTAGTACCTACAATTATTATTTAAAGGTGTGCACTTGTGCGCTGTTGAGCATATATAATATATAAATATAAATGTGAAATTTAACTATCAGTTTAGATTTTTAATTAAAATAAAGCAACATATGCTTTAATTTGCACGATAATTCATTATGATCTTAACTTGTAAAAAATGAAATAAATTAATTTAAGTTGTTTAGAGCTGACCAGCTCAAATTAAGAAAGTCAATGGCCTTGTTAGGTAACATAGTTACTAATCAATTTTATCTTATTTGATCACTATTAGCTGATTGACTTAGGCCCTGTTTGGTAAAAAATTGGCCTATAGGCCAATTTTGACTTATTTGGCCACTATTAATTGTTTGATTTAGTTAAAATATCAATAGAAATGTGTGGTTAATTAGCTTTTTGCAACTCCAAAATGCTAAAATTCAAAAAGCTACTCCAAGCAACTTTTTCAATTAGCTTTTTGAGAAAAGAAATTATACCAAATAGCTATCAACTAACAGCTAATTTACCAAACACTTTTCTACAATCATCTAATGTTATCAACTATTTATACCCTTTAATTAACACAATCAGCTAACAGCTGTTTTACCAAACAGGGCCTTAGTTAAATAATCAATATAAGTGTTTTATTTTAACTATTTATAACAGTTTATTGCTTCAAAATGTTAAAATTCAAAAAACTGGTCAAAGCAGTTTTTTTGATAAAGTCATTTTGCATTTAATTAATTTTCAACTAACAACAAATTTATCAAACACTTTTCTACAATCAATTAATGTTATCAACTAGTCAAATCCACTAACTCAATCAGCTTACAGTTATTTACCAAACACTCCAATAAAATGATCCAGACAAAAGTTAAAATTGTAACTTTGTGATTTTTAAGTCAAGTTAACCAACTTAATTCCGGTTGTCCCCTATCCAAATTTTTATAAATATATTACGTTCTCTGATATTAATAAAAATAAAAATAAAATACTGAACTTTTAGTTTTTTTTTTAACTCAAAAAATTTATATTTTATGATAATTATATTCGAATCTTTAAAGTTTAAGTGGGAAAAAGAAAATAAAAACCTAAACATGTTTTTCTTGCCATGTTTAATAATAAATTTTATTTTTATTTTTGAAAATAAATATTATTTTCCTTATTTGTTGATTTTATAATTTTAAAATACTACTTCCTCAAGTATATCAGTAGTCTTGACTCTTGAGGCTCGCCATGCTCAATTTTCCAAGAGTACATGTACTTTTTTTTGTCCCCAATTTCTCAAGGAAAATACTTGGTATACTCTCATTTTATACTTCTAATTTTTATTCCCTCTCACATGTTCTTGATTTAGACACTTTTCTGTGCACTCACATGATAAAAATTAATCAATTCTTGTTTGTCACTTCAAAGAATATTATTGTAGTAAATTTGCAAACAAATAATACTGAGAGTACGAGTTATCGATCCACAGGAAAGTGGTTGTATTAAACACTAGCTACTAAATTATTCTTTGAAGCTAATCCTAACGATTTACTTGGATGGTTGCATAAAATAAATAAATAAAATAAAACAATGATTCAGGGTAATGAAAACAATAGAGAGAGACTGAGATCCCTGGGATTCAAGTATTTAATCCCCTAGTGCTTAGGCTAATGTAATATTAAATCTGAGTTCATACAAGTGTGAGGATTCAAAGAGGTATAGAGCTACTCTCGTAGTCACTAACACTGGTGAATTTCCACTCTCGATGTTAATGTTACAGGAGTGCAGTTTTTGTACGACGCTAGCTGAAAAGGACCGCAAGAACGACCAAGAAAATGTTGGGAGAAAAGAGCAATCTAGTATAACCAGACCACATCAGCCATCCAAAGAATCCAAGGCAGAAGAGTTGACTTCAAGAAAAGAGAAGCATGAACTTTCTTCTCTTGTTAAATCAATTAAAATGAAGTCGAAACAAATCCAATTATCTTCTCAAAATAAGATGATGAAGAAAAGTGAAAAACTACTAGCAAAGACAAAGAAGTAGACACATTCACAATTCCTCAATGGATATAGAATGCAAGTTACTTTTTTGTTAACACAATTTTTTGCAGCCTACCTCTTTGTAGTATGGTATTTTCCTCAATTTCTTTGAATTGTGAATTGTGATTTTAAAGCATTATTCAATAATATTTATAGGACAAAGTTCATCTACATGATAGTCATGTTCTTTGGTTGCAATATCTTCTGAGCTGGTGTTTGTGGAATCAATTTCTTCAAAAATTAGGGACGAGGGGAGGTGGAGGAGTCTAAAGCAGTGTTGCAAAAATCGCGCTTAAGCGCCAATTAATCGGCACCTAGGCGCCTGCCTAGGCACTCTAAGCGCCCTAGGCAGTCCCCAGACCCCAGGCGCCTAGCAATTTTTTCAACATTGGTCTAAAGAGTTCGGATGCAATTGTCATCCCTATCCCTATTTGTTGTTAGCGGTAAAGAAGTTATGAGTTGCATAAAATTCGAGGATCCTTTTCACAAAGAGGTGCAAATTAGATGTCGTCTCACCTCAAAATGTATCATTTGGGACTTGCTTATATGTCATTTTCGGTAAGGTTAAAACTTATATCTTTTTGAAGAACTAGTTGTTTATGTTAGTAAAAGTGACTTATTGACTGTTTTGGTTTGAGCTATCAACTTATTTTAGTTTACTTCTTTGTAGTGGTTCTTTACTGGCTAGAGTTAAAAGGTGTGATTTATCCGGTGTAAATACAAAGTATTATTTTTCCTTACTAAAACCACCTGCTAATATAATTTTGAATTTTCTACTATGAACATTATTTGTAAGCCTTAAAAAAAAAAAAAAAAAAAAAAAAAAACCTCAGTTCCCAACTTCCCACCACGAGTTAATAAATATAAAATCCAACAAGATCTAAAAGTAAAAACACTAGCAAAAAGAAAATGTATTAACTATACCAAAGGAAGTTCAGTAAGTATACATCCACCTATATTTTTTACAATAAATAATGATTATTGTGCTAAAAAATGGTGGAAAGCTCAGTCCCTATGTATTTGTATTGGTGTAAGTAACAGATGTGGTTCAGATATGGTATACACTCACTATACAGGCTAAACAAGCCTCAAGAAGATATAATAATGATCCAAAAATAGCAAGAAATTGAGAAAAAAACCATCATTAGTTTGCCAAAGAAACCATTCAAGTGTGATGCATGGTTTCCTGCAGGTGGAGGCACCAAACCTGTTGGAGTTGACAGAGGGGGCTGAGTTGTATTTGTAGTGGCCTCGGGATTCAAAGTAGCAGGCGAAGGTGCTTCGGTTGTTGAGTTCTGTTTGTTTATAGGAAGAGTAGACGTTTTGGATTCTGTATCGCTGTAACCTGAGAAACAAAACTCGTCATGAGCATACAGCCATTAATGTACAACCCAACTATCAGCTTAAGTTTTTAGTTGAGATGGAACACATGCTTCAATTATTAAACTATAAGACAAATAGCAGGGAAACTCAAGGTCTCACGCTTGTGATATAAACTTACAGTCTGATTGTTCCCAGCCCAAAACCTGCTTCTCGCCATCAAAAACCACCCGGTAGCCAGTCATAAAATTTTCTGGATAACATGATATATAAAGCGGTTCAGCAGAATCCAATCCAGAGGAAGAAGCAATAATTCACTAAGAAGTTAATATAATTACACATTTTTCTCACTTAGTTTGATTTCATATTGTCCCGGTATGTTATGCAGCAATAAGAAAAGATGAAAAATAGAAGCCCCAAAAATGACTTGGTAGAAGTTTAGATGTGAAGCTATGCTATAAGCAATTCTTTTAGTTTTTCAAATAAATAGCTCAATATACTTACGTCCAATGATGTTGATATCTTCGCTTTTGACAACAGCTAAACAATAGCCAATTGCTTCATTCTGGATATATGGAAAATGTGAATACAATAACATAATAGAGGAGAATACTCTAACATAGAAACCAAGCTGCATGCCGAAAGAAACACCTTACCTTAGCAGACATAATTACTATTGGGTCATTAACATAAAACTGGTCACCACCTTTCATTGTTAGATTCAAAGCAGGAGGGTCAAACGAAGTTTGATTTGGACTGTGCAAAGAAAAAAAGGGTCAATGTGAGTGAGTGTAAAAAAGTGGAATTCACCAAAATTTGTTGACCACCAATAACTTACTTGAAATCATAGCAATATTCAAAAAGAAGAGTGGACTTAGAAGCAAATTGATGGCGTCGCTCCTTTGCGAAAGAATTGAACTGCAAAGATAATAAAACACTTTTAGCTCAAATGTAGTTTTAAAGAAAATAGTATGTAGATATCAGAATTCAGAACTTAGTATTGGACTTACATTCTCTGTAATGATTGTGTAAGCTGGATCATTTAAATATGTGAAGGATGTGCCAGAGTCAAACACTGCTGTAAAATCAACATCGGTCACATTTTTGTCCACGGCTATTTGCGTAAGGCTGACGTTATAAGTTGGGCTGATTTCAGAGAAACGAAAAATGAATACTTAGTTTGAATTCCCACATTGTTTTGCACTGGGTTCAATAAGTAAAAGAGAAAGGTGCATACTGTGATTGTTCAACATTCAATGGCGTTTCTCCTTGGTTTGAACTGCCTTTGTCCCCAAAAACTATTCTGCCAAGTCCATCTTGCCCAAAACACATAGAAAACGACTTTGCTGTAATTCCCTTGGAAGCTAAAATGCTAGGAACCGAAAGATCACCCACTCCAAGCCCAAATAGGCCATTCGGAGCAGCAGCATCCAGAAATGCACCCGTTTGCTCAATTCCACAGCTGAGAGGAAAGAAATAACAAACATAAATCCAGCTAAGAGTAAAAACGCTCAAAATACCACACTGAAAAAAGAAATTAGACATAAGGATTGGCACTAGAACTATATACCCGAACGTAATTGGTGCATCGGTGCTTTTCTGTTGACTGTCTTCAGTGACTAGGTGCAAGACATCCTCTACCAATATCCCTTGTGACGAGGTGTTATGAGAGAGATATCCAACTCTATAGCCACAAGCATTGCTTTCTGCTAAGCACTGTCGTCTTTGTCCACACAGGGTGCCATTGCAAGGAACAATCTCACTGGTCGATGAGGCATTCGGGCTATACATATTAAAATCTATTCTCTGTTTCAATTGAGGAGGCAAAAGTGAAAGTCACAGACACGATCAATAATACAAATCATTAAGTACTCCACACAATCAATTTGAAAGCTGTAAGTAGAAAAGCAACAACGCGGGATAATGCTAGAACTGAATCACATACCGCTTTTCCTATTACAAGACCCCGCGCACAGTTGCTGCAACCACATGGCACCCAAAACAGATCGCTTCCAGTGTCAAGTGCCACAAGAAACGATAGAGGAGGCGTGCCCACCGAAACATTCGCATAGTGTAAGCTGAAAATTCGAACAATACATTTATTCATTTCTTCATCAAGTATGAAAAATCCATTGCTGTAAAATGATAAGGATAGCATAATCTATTGAGGTTTCATTCTAACTATATTTCATAAATCCCTTTCGTGGCAATTCAAAACTCCATTGATCATTTGGTCGGGTTGTTGACTTAGTAACCACAAGGTTACAAGTTCCGTTGAACATATAATATATATATATATATATATATATATATATATATATATATATATAAATATAAATATAAATATAAATGTGCAATCCAACTATCAGCTTAAACTTTTAGTCCTTCTTGATGATATGGCTGGTTTACCTGGGTTTCCCTGGGTTATTAGCAATAATGATTTTTGAACAACCCCACGATTTCAGTTCTATAAAGTTTACCAGATAAAAGACAGCAAAAGATCATATTTTATAAGCAAACAGAAAACAGGAATCGATTATATCATGAGAGGAAACTTACAATCCCAAACCAGATATCCGCACAGTCTCATTCCCAGCTTCGAAAGTGAGCATATCGGAATCGCCGGAGTCAGCGAGGTGGCGGCCCTTGGAAAGGCGGTGTTGATCACGCGCCACCCAGGCGGAGTAGTAGTCGACGCTACCCTTTTCCGGCAAGCCTTGAAGGTCCAAAATACCCTTCACCGGATCCGAGTACCGGTGGTGAATATCGAACCCGAATGTCCCAAACGCCTCCCCCAACTCCAACTGTAGAACCCAGACCACCGCCGCCGTGAAAACAACCGTCACTACGTGATTGAAATGAGCCGCCATGGCAAATAATCCGGGAAACTGAACCGGAGAAAATTCTTCTTCTCCCAAAGGTATTTGATAGAAGAGAGATGACAGTTATTGTGTATATATATATATATATATATATATATATATATATATATATATATATATATATATATATATATATATATATATACAATAAATATATCCGTATAGAGTAGACAGAGAGTTGCAGAGGGTAATAAATGGGAGGTTATGGTTGACCTGTGTGAACCGAAGTTAGCTCAGCCGCCTACCAATATAGTCGTCGCCGTTCTCAAGTCTGAACGACGATGCCGGTCGGGGCGGGGCGGTGGGCTCCACGCTCCTCCGCTTCCAAAATAACACAACACTTTGACTTTAACGCTGTCGGGTTTTTACTGCGACACTTTTGTCATTTTATCTAATTTTGTAGTTATTCAGAAAGTCTACGCTATTATTTAAAAAGGTTGCACGATAATTCATTGTAACCTTAATATATATATAAAAAAATAATGAAATAAATTAACTTAAATTGTTCATAACTGATCGGTTCAAATTAATAAAGTCAATAAATTACTCTAGACGAAAGTCAAAATTGTAACTTTGTGATTTTCAAGTCAGGCCGACAAACTTAGGTCCGGTTGTTTCCTATTCATATTTTTATAAATATGTTATGTTCTCGTTTGCATGGACAACTCAACTGATCATACGGGTAAAATTTGAAAAGAATTATCAGAGATTGTGTTACGTTCTCAGTGATATTAATAAAATATTAATAAAAAAAAACTCAAAGATTTGTACTTTGCAATAATTATATTCGAATCCTTAAAGTTTAGTGGGAAAAAGACAAATCAAAACCTAAACATGTTTTTCTTGGCTTCTTGCAATGTTTAATACTATTTTTTTAAAAAAAAAATAAATATTAATTTCCTTATTTGTTGATTTTATAATGTACCTTTTTTTCCCCTAGTTTCTCAAACTCTCTGGTCTTTGGGTTTGACCATAAACTAAATTCCACAAGCGTCCCCATCAAATTACTTTTGTTGATTTATGTTGCGGACAAATTTGTTTTCCATGCTACACACTTCACCTTGGGTTAGAAAGTTGTGCAACCAAACTCAATTTTATTCAAATTATTTTTAAATTATATTTATAAAATTTAAAGTAACTACACAAAATGTCAACATTAGATTGTTGTGGGGTATAGGGTAAACCTCACTCTTATATAATATTCTGTAAATCGCACACGAAAATTAAACTAAACTACACTAAGAAGTTTGCAAGCAGTGAATTTGTGACTTTTATGTACGAGAGTAATACTTTCCACCCACTCGATCGCCACTTTTGAGACATTTGTTTGTAAGTTGAGTTGCTAATAATATGCACACTTATATATTCAAATTATAATTTGATTGAGTCTCAATTATATTACCGAGTTAGTGTAAATGAGTCGCCATTGTGAGTTTCTCTAGTCATTCCTGAAGAAAAAAATAAAAAAGTATTGATCAAATATGTTAGGTAAAAAGATTAAATCATGAGAGAAATGTAGCAATATTCTTTTTTTTTTTTAAAGTAAGTGAGACTTTTAAACACGGTTTTAAATGACTTTTTGGACTGTCTTCTTAATTATTCTAACCCTTTTTATGAGGTAGAAAAGTAAACTTTCTTTTTCCCTCTCTTTGCACATTTTTCTCGGTCCAATAGTCATAAGAAAAAAGGTAAGAGAGTAGGTGTTTGGTGCAATAATTGAGATCAATATTGATATCGAAATTAAAATTAAAATCAAATATTTAATAATTAAAATGAGTGTTAGTAAATATAATATTGGGAAACGGTCAAATAGGCCCTCAAATTTTAGCTTAAAAGTTAATTAGACCCTTAAACTTTTTAAAGGTGCAATTACACACATCAACAATACATTTAGGTGCAATGAAGCCCAAAAACAAGTTAATGACCTGCTATCACATGTCATTAGGGTTCAGGTCACCTTCCAACAAACAAAAAAAAAAGTGATCGGCGACCGACGAACGGTCGCCGCCAGTCACTTTTTTGTCGGAAATTTCGCCGGTCACTTTTTTTTATTGTCGGAAATTTCGCCGGAAGGTGGCATGAACCCTATTGACCTGTGATAGCAGGTCATTAACTTGTTTTTGGGCTTCATTGCACCTAAATGAATTGTTGATGGGTGTAATTGCACCTTTAAAAAGTTTATGAGTCTAATTGACTTTTAAGTTAAAATTCGAGGGTCTATTTGACCCTTTTCCCTATAATATTTTATTTAGTAGTAAATGAGAAATGGAATATAAAGTGTATCATGTATAATTCTGCACAATATATTTAGTTATACGGCATACTATGGAGACATACATTGATTGTACTCAAAATAATCCGAATATTATATATAGTTGTACTGAGTATATATTCAATTTTCATGAAAGAAAACTTTTTGTTTTTTTGTTTTTTACTTACTTTCTATTTTTTCTATTTTTAATTCCAAAGTTCAAAAATATATTTATATTTATATTTTTAAATGTTATTTTCTCTCCTAATTTTACCTTAACTATTTGTCTAGATAATTTATCATTAATAACTTCATCTCAACTTTTTTACGTTAAAAATTAAAATATTCAACATTGACGAGTTGTCTCAAACAAAAGAAAGAAACGAGCATAAAATTAAAAACAAACAATACGAATTGTTATCTTGCTCCGAATAATTCAAGTAGTTAACCAATCAATGCATAGTGTTGTGGGTTTGAGCCACACTTGATGAGTCATTAACTGACTTGCCAAGTTGCCAATAAGTGGATGACTGACTTTGTCAACCAGTGGCAGTTGCCCTAATTACCTGCATACACGTACTATAAATATAATACATCGTACATGATTAGTTTCTTGTATTTATTTATTCATTTATGGTATAAGTAATTTAATGTACTCATACACATGCAATTCGTGTCGCTCACTCCATGTCTCAATGAATAATAAATAACCCATTGAGTTACCGTGATTCCTTGTGAGCACCGGCATTTGGTCCTGTCTACTAACCCATTGAGTCATCGTAATTTACATCATTTCACATGCTCTGTCGGGTCGGAATGTGGGGCCCTTAGGGTTGGGGATTCAGCCTTGGAATAAGAATAATAAATAAAGCTCGCATGAGCAGCTCAGTTGGTCACAAAGATTTGTAAAGTTTGAAAACAATGATCAACATCGAGTCTCATAACCAGCGACAAAGATCTACCCTCCCTCCGTGTTTGGCTGAGTTACCATGATTTACATCTTCTCATATGCTCTGTCAAGTCGAGACGTTGGGACCTTTGGAGTTGAAAATTTAACCTTTTGGAACAATCAACAATGTAAATAATAAATATAAAATAAGGGATGTTTCTATCATAATTATGTTCATTTTTTTTACCTCAGATTATTATACCATGATCAAGTAGTATTTTGTATTATATTTGATGCACCCTTTTGTATTTTTCGTCATATTTAGTTATTTTGATCAAATTCTTAAAAAAAAAAAAAAAAAGAAGTAAAAATGTATCAAATTTTTAGATTATAATCATATAGAGTAATAACTAATAACAACAAGGTGGGAGAGGCAGGAGGATACTTGTCGTCCGGATAGAAAATTTTCTCTGTCCCCGTTCTCATGGAGAATTTTCAAGGATGAGAATCCTTGCTTCCAATCAATCATATAGTTAAACACTCGAACTTGTAGATTAGTATAATTTTTTATATTTAAATACAAAATTTAAATATTAAATTACTAATTTAAATTATCAAATTCAAATATTAATCTAGTATTAAGTCTTTAATTTTTTATAACTTCATCAATATATATAATTAATGTACCGATGAGGTTGGGGAAGGGTATGAATACAACTCTTTGTTCTTGTCATCGTTCCTTGAATTTTGGCCCCCGTCCTCGTTGGAGCGGCGATGAGGGATCTCCACGAGATCGATGAGAAATTGTCATCTCTAATCATACATTTTCTCTTGAAAAGTGTAAAGATGAGAAAAAGTTTATGAGTTTGAGTATCTATTTCGGTAACATTTTTAAATTTAGTCTTTGATAAATGATTTTATCATAGTCAAAGTCTTTGTGATCGAGCGGTATAGTTTTGGCCTTTCAGTTGAGAGGTCTCAGGTTTAAACCCCAGTGTGCCAAGTATGTATGAACGAATACTACATTGTAACAGAGTCAATAGTACTAAAAAAATAAATTATTTCATCACATTTTATTATTTTAACTTTAGCTTTAGTGGTGGTGTGAAATTTAGTCCTCCATTTATAGTTATATTAAATAGTGTAGGTGTATTTTTTTATCTTCTCACAAAATGTTGAATTCCCAACCTCAAGGGTCCCCACACCAATGCCCGAAAGAGTATTTGACAGGATATAAATCATGATGACTCAATGACTTAGCACACATGGCCAAATGCCGGTGCGCACAAGGAATCTGTCCACCGTACTTCAGGTATAATGCCACACTGCCGCTGCCGAGGTTCAAACATTGGTATATTCTCCTAAATACTGCATACTGGACTAGTGAGCTAAACCCGTGCGGATATATGTATTTTTTTTAAAGGAGTGTATGTATATAGAAATGATGAGTAATGCAAAATTGATCAAATACTTTGGTAAACAAATATTTTCCAAATTGTAAAAGAAAAAGAATCTTTCAATATATATATATATATATATATATATATATATATATATATATATATATATATATATATATATATATATATATCGCATTAATTATGGGAAGTGTATTTGTAATTTGCTATTAAAACATTGAATCGTTCAACGTTACTAGAACATTGCATATTCGTGACCACCTAAGAGATGGACAAATTTTCTGATTTTTTCTAAAATTTTATAACCCTTTTAAATGGTTTAAAAATTTTGATTCTTTAAAAAGTTAAAATTCTAACTTATAAGTCAATAAGATCACTCATGTCAAGAGGAAATGCAACAAATATCCTAATTAATTACCTTGCCACTCTAAAAATGTTAAATTTCTGTCCACATTGGCAGTTAAAATTTCTAATCACCTTTTTTAGGTAATTTGAAAAAGTTTTAGTGAATAATTCAAAACTTGAAA